ACTTATGTTTTTCAAACCTGCTATCCTGTGATGCTCTTTATGGCAGCCCAAGCAGACAAATGAAATAGGGAAACTGTCCCATTCCTTGGAGACAGAGGGTCGGGGTCCCCCAGACATGTCTGGAGAAGCAGTGTTGAAGCTGAGCCCGCAAGGAGCAGCAGGAGTTGGAGAGAGCAGATGGAGAGAGGCCTGTTTAGGTGAAGGATGCAATGTAGGTGAAGCCATAGAAGCAAGGGGGCATGATGTGCAGATGTGAGACAGATGAAAAGAAATTTCAGTTAACTTTGAGCCTGGAGGACAAGGGTCCTTGTTTTGCAAGATGAAGCTCTGCACGTACAAAGGGCTTGGAGCAGGATTTCTCAGAAGTTTTCTACACAGTTCAACCCTTTCCTCTTGAAATCCTTCCTTTCCCCTATGGGCTTCCAAACACCATATTCGTTAGGTTTTCCTCTTGGTTGGTTACACTGGTCTCCTTTGATGTCTCCTGTCCTCCTCCTTAATCTCTATAAATATGAGCATCTCCCAAGACTCATCTTGGGCTCCTTTTCTCTGTTTTTATATTCTTTTCAATGTGATTTCCTCCAGCCATGTGGCTTTAAAAGTTATACGTAAACCTATGACCTCTAAATATTTAGTTCCCATTCAGACCTCTTCCCTCAAATCTAGAGTCATCATTTCTTTGACATCTTGCTTTAGTTTTTCATAGACATCTTAAACACCGTAGTCTATTAAGTATGCTGTTACTGGCTGCAAACAACAGAGGACCCCAACTCCAGTGATTTATGCTGTAGGGGTATTTTTACAGTTTAGTTCCTGACCAGAACAGTTTGTAGGGATGTTACTGTATGGGGAAGAAACTTTTTCTCTATCCTCTAATGTTGAGCCCCTAAGTCCTGCAAATTAAAATCGACAAAAGAAATTAATAGGAGAAAAAAATGTATAGCTGCAGATTCTAGCAGGAGTGTTCAGTGATGAGTAACTCAAAGCCCTGGTTAGAATTTGGGGTTTACATATTTAGCTGAATAGGTGAAGGAGAGAGGGGAGAAAGGCTTCAATGGGAAGGACAAGTAGGTTTTTTGTTTTATTTTAGGAAAGAAAAATGAGTGTTTAGGAGAATAGAGAGCTAGATAATTAGGTTTGTGATGTTTGTCTTTCCAGTTGTGAGTGATCTTGTTCTTCCTTTCGGTTCCTAAAACTACCCTGGAAAGGGCCTCCCCAGTTGGCGCAGCGGTTGAGTGCTGGGATGCGAAGCTGCCCACAGCCTCTGCAGTTCGATCCCCAGCCGCCGGCGAGGGTCCCACATGGCGCGAGGGTCTCCTGCCACCCGCCCGCTGCTCCCTTCAGCAGTGTACTTCGTCATTCTGCCTGTTCTGCTCTCCCCTCTGACTCTGGTGAATTCTCTCACCCTCCTGCGCTTCTGACGGTACCCAGTGCTTGTATAAATAAATAAATAAAATCTTTAAAAAAAATTGTGTTAAAAAAAAACAAAACTACCCTGGAGAAGAAATTTGTGGTAGCTTTACTTTTGATCTCTCTCATGGGGGCAGATCCACGCCAAAGAGGGAATTTATGATTTCCCAAGAGTTTCTGCTTTTAGTCAGACATGGGAAGTTCCAAGAAGCCTTCTTTCTGCATCTGTTGACTGTCAATTATTTTCAGTTTACTAATTCTTATACTGCAGTGTTATATTTTGGGGAAGCATATCCTGATTCCCTTTAGTAATGTATCCTTTAGTTCATCAAAGTCATACAATGGGAGTCTATTGTTATGATTTGGATTTTGAACTAATTCTGGAATTGTGAGTCATTGAAGGGAAAATTTAGCCTGGTTCTTCTTAACTCTAACCTGGCCATCTTTATCATTCTCTTTGTCATGTGATTCAAATTCAAGTTGAGATATTTTTGACCTAAGCAAGTATGCACTATGGCGTTTCCATTGTAACTTTGTTGTTTTCACCATCCTGACTTTGAACTCATCATGAGACTTGGTAAATGAAATATTAGCAAATAAGCCATCCCCACTAAACAGTGCTTACTGGGGTTTGCTTCATTCGCCTCAACCCCTGAAGTTATCATGAAAATGAACCCAAGTAGTTGGTTACAGAATCAGAGACCAGATGGAGTGGGGGTGAGTTGTCTCAGCTCAGGCCCTTCTAGACCACCAGCCTCCTGATGACCGACCAGTTAACCACAGATACACGAGTGTATCCAGCTAAAATCAGTTACATCAATCCCACATCAGCAGAACTACCAGCCAATCTGTGGACTCATCATAAGCAACAAATGCTAGTTATTTTAAGTCTTTAGAATTAGGGGTGTTTATTATATAACAACAGTTAAGTCATGGAAAAGTTCTCACCTTTTGACCAGAAAGGATGAGGGGACACTTAAGCCTATAGAGTTCTGCAAACTACATCTTCCATATCTGACCATTTTCATTCCCAGACTTCTTGAGATGGGAAATTTCTAAACAGGGCATGACACCCATAAAATTTGTTACCATGGCCCTTGCTAAGTAACATGGTCGGTCTAGGTAAGTCCTAATTGACTATCCTGCTTTGATATGCAAAGCTATGTAATTGCAATCTTCTCATTTGTATGTATGAAAGGTTCTGTGCAGAAAGAGTAGCTACTGGAGCGGGGAATGTGGATGCTATTGAGAGAGGCAGCACCAGGCTCTGGGATCTTGAATGGGACCAATCGCAGCAGGATATGGAATTGTCTGTACCGATAAATTTCCAGCAAGTTGTTTGGCATTCACTCTTCCCTCCTTTTCAAATCTGAGTTTGTGGCAAGCCTCCAGCCAGAGTCTCACACAATGGCTAGTCACTCTTTCCAGGTCACAGTGTTGTCCTTAATTCTCCAAGGGATTTCTACCAATCCCTAACCGCCTGCTAATCTTTACCCTTTCTTGCTTCCACTATGTTCTTGTAGTGCAATCAACTTGCATTTTAATATTCAGCTTGATTTATTTGCAGGTCTGGGACCATCACTTAGACACCTCTTGACACAGAGATGTCAGGAAGAGGCCACAAGAAAGAAAACAACACATGTGATGTGACCAAATATACTTGATTCAGCTCTCCTTGGTCAAGCGTCGCTGTAGCATGGTGTAAAGGGGCTTTATAGCCAAAAACATCCGCAGGGCTGCATCTGGGCAAGAGAGGATATGAGAGTTCACAGAGCATGAGCAGCATGTATTTTCACGGTGTATCATTTTATGAGGAAACTAGTTCAAAGTGCAATAGTGCTAGAACAAATGTTCTTATCCACAAAGCACTTAGACTTTGGAATCAGACAGATCTGGCTGCATATTAGGGTTTGTGATTCACTAGTACTGTCATTATGGGACAGTTACTTAACCTGTCTACACCACTGTGCAAAACTACTCCACCTACTTCCTAGAGAGGGTGCCAGGACTAAGTGAGATGTGGCATGTAAAATCCCTAACACATTATTCAATGCCTAGTAGGCACTTAGTAGGTGTAGGCGATAACGCTGATTACTGAAGATTATCTTCCTAATATATTACATCCAGCAGTGATATATTAGGAAATGTTAATAGGCATGCTGTGGAAAAAAGCTTAAGGTCACCAAGGACATCAAAATGAGAAAGAATCTGTGAGGTTCTGCAATAATAAGTTGAATTTTGCTTAACAGCTTTTCCAAATTTATTTGAAGACAAACCTTTCTTCCTATTAGAATACCGACTGACATCAGTGGCCTCTAGTGTTCTCCAGAACACTGTTTGGATGATGCTGGTTTATGAAAATAATTTTCAGTTGCGTGACTAGTTAAAAATCCGTGACCAGAAAGCAAAACAAGAGTTAATTATAAAGAAGCTTCAGTGTAAAGCCTGGCCTTGGTGACTATTGGGCTGGCGTTGCAGTTGGCTCTTGGTCTCTGTAGTCTGGGAGTGTTATGGAGCCCTATCTCGGCCATCTGCTGTGAGGACAGCATGCAGCGCGGCAGGGCAGGCTTCTACATCATTCTGAATCAGGATTTATGGCTGCAATTGCTGGCCCCACTTCTAAATTATTTTTAAAATTATTATTTTCTGACATCATTGTTAATTTTTGGACAGTATCTGATTTCCCCCCTTAGGTGCAGTACCTGGAGTTCTTCCACCATCATATCCCCCGACCCATCACCATAGTCCCTTGTGTGCTTCCCTCCCCTGTTTTGACCGCTCTTTCTCCCTCTCACCTGCTGGATGCCTCAGATCTCTGGTCAGCATGCAAGTTTTGTGTTTTTCCTGACCCTTTGTTTGATTTCTCTATATCCTACATGTAAGTGAAACCATCCGGCATTTATCTTTTTCCTTCTGACATCATCACTTGCAGCAGCATGGATGGCCTCACTTTTTTTTTTTTATTAAACTTTTAAATTTTCTTACATCATTGTTCATTTTTGTACAGTTTTTGATTTCTCCCATCAGGTGTAGTCCCCGTAAATCTCCCACCACCACATCACCTATGAACCCTCAATTTTATTTTTTATTTTTATTTTTTTATAGGTTAATGTATTTTAATAGCAAACTTACAGGAACAGCACAGAAGACAGACAAAATTAAAAACATGTGCTTGCATGTAGGAGAACTCAGTTAGAAAAGTAGAGTGAGTGGATGGAATCTACTGTATGATAAAAATGCTACAAAGACCATTTAGTTGCCATCAATAAGAAATTTACTTGTTTTAAAAAAAATCCAAATGCTGACATTGTCCAGAAAAATTTAACAGGTTTATTTATAATTATTATAAAGTTGAACTGCTGAAACTTGTTCGCTGCAACATTTTGACTTGCATTACTGCTTTATATCATTGCCATTTATATTAAAAATTCACACACAAATGAAAATGGAAAAACTGCCAATACCTGATTCCTGTGTCTCTAGTTTAATCCACTTGCAACCATACATTTATGTACCTTTTGACCCCATGGGAAAAAAAAATATCTAACGTTCAGAACTACCAATAACAGGAAAAGGGAAAAATTTTTTTTTTTTGGTTGAGAATGAAATGTTTCCCATCATAGTGGATTCTTAAGCATGCTCTCCACGTACGTGACGCACTAGCTGGATGTCTTTTGGCATATTTGTTACACGTTTGGCATGGATAGCACACAGGTTGGTGTCTTCAAAAAGGCCAACCAGATAGGCCTCACTTGCCTCCTGCAATGCACCAATAACTGCACTCTGGAAGCGCAGATCTGTTTTGAAGTCCTGAGCAATTTCTCGCACCAGACGCTGGAAGGGAAGTTTGTGCATCAGAAGTTGAGGGGACTTCTGATAACGTCTAATTTCACGGAGTGCCACAGTACCAGGCCTGTGACGATGCGGTTTCTTCACCCCTCCAGTAGAGGGCGCACTCTTGCGAGTGGCTTTTGGAGCCAGTTGCTTCCCCGGTGCTTTACCACCGGTCCATTTGCGGGCAGTCTGCTTTGTACCAGCCGTGGTAGAGAGACCTCCTTACTTACCCCCCTTCTACTTTGGCTGGAGTTCGGCGAGCTAGAGGTGGTGCTGGCGTTAGAGAGTGACTCGGCAGCGACTGTGAACACAATTGAACCCTCACTTTTATTTATTTATTATTAAAAAAAATTATTTTATATAAATCTTACATCATTTTTCATCTTCGCACAATGTATGCATTTTCATTTTGGTTATATTCCCCATACAATTGCACTCCCCCCTTATTTTTACTCTAGTTCTTCCTCTCCCCGCCCCCCCTCTCCCCCACCAGTGTGTCTCTGGTTTATAGTTGCTTGATGATTCTGGTTATTACTTTGTATTGATTAGTCTTTTTCCTGGTCTCTTATTTAGGTTTTCTAAATCCCTGCTATGAGTGAGACCATCAGGTATTTTTCTTTTTCTTTCTGACTTATTTCGCTGAGCATGATCCCTTTTAGCTCCATCCATGTTGCTGCAAACTGCATGTGTTTATCTTTCTTGATTGCTAAGTAATATTCCATGGTGTATATGTACCACATCTTCTTGATCCAGTCATCTATTTTTGGGCATTTGGGTTGCTTCCATAGCTTAGCTATTGTAAATAGTGCTGCTATAAACATAGGCGTGCAGGTGCCCTTTGGAATTAATGTTTCTGTGTCCTTTGGGTAAATACCTAGGAGTGGAATTGCTGGATCATATGGAAACTCTATGTTTAGTAGGTCAAGAAATCTCCACACAGCTCTCCATAGTGAACCCTGACTTTTAAACAAAAGTCCCCGGGTAGCTAAACCCTAATGCCCTGAGTTCTGTACTGTCCTCTCCAAGATCACCCAAGCCAACCTTGACACTCTTTTTCAGCCAGGAGTGGTGCTCATATTTTATACTTCTGTTGTTTGAACTTGTTTTCTAGCAAACCACATGAAGTATAAACCAAGCTGGCCCATGCCGGATTCAGTGGCAGGGAAGCTTTACATACTGTTGATTTTGTAGAGGAAAGTTACAACTCAAAGAATGTAGGATGGATGCCTATAGCACAAAACACAGAGGGTTCCACTGGCCACCCCAGTCGAATAAGAGCTGGCTATTCCTATTTCCCTGTTTGAGAATTTTTTTTTTTAAAGATTTATTTATTTATTTATACAAGCACTGGGTACAGTCAGAAGTGCGGGAGGGTGAGAGAATTCAGAGCCAGAGCGGGGAACAGAACAGGCAGACTGACGAAATACACTGCTGAGGGGAGAAGCGGGCATGGCAGGAGAGGTCTGTTGCGCCATGTGGGACCCTCGCCCCGGTGGCTGGGGATCGAACCGGCACTGCAGAGGCTGTGGGCAGCTTCACTGCCCAGCTCTCAACCGTGCGCCATCAGGGGAGGCCCTGATCCGTGCATCTTATCCTAAAAATATCATTGGTGTCATGCTTCCTGAATTGCTGCAAAGGTGCGCGGTGTACTTAGCAAAATTAAAACCTTAACACTAAAATTTTAGCAAATATCACATAAAATAGATCCTCCCCTCAAAAAACATTAAAACCACAAGTCTTCAGACACAGCTGACATTGATTTAGGAATACAAATTAAAAATGATTTGAAATATTGTCATTAAGTTCCGCGACATCGTCAAAGAAAACTATAATCCAAGCAAATCAATTTACCATAGGAATGCAAGGAATGGCTTATTGATAGGAAATCTATAAATAAAACATGTTTCAATAAGTCAAAATAGAAAAAAGTATAATCATCTTAGCGGATGGTACCCATTTATGATAAAAATATACTAAAAGTGATAAAATAAGAACATGCTAAAGTAAGAATGGAGATTTGTCGCACCAGCAAGGCACAGGGCAGGTTCTCTATGGATCTGGGCAGATGGGTAAAGAAGAGTCCTGGAAACTTCGGAGGCTTTTTCAGGCTTTTAATGTCCTTTCTACCCCAATTCTACCTCCTGGCGAGGCAGGAGTTGGGGGTTAGAGGGGGCAGGAGACTGGCAGACTTCCCAACCCCCAGCAAATCTTTACTCTCTCTTTGGGCTCTCTCTGGTATAGTCTCTTGGTCTCTTCCTCTGTAGCTGTTCTGCCACCATCCACCACAGTCCACTGAACAGTCCTCTGCCACCCGTCCTCTGCCGCTGCCCTTATAGCCCGCCTCTCGGCTTAGCTGTGCCCACTTACTTATGCCCACACCATGTTCCAGGTGTTCACCATGAGGCATGCACACCACGAGACCACACTTCCAAGAGCCTCCTGCATTCAAGGCCACAGGTGATAGCCACAGAGGTCAACCCTGAGCAATCTTAATTTACCCTACAAGATTAGTCATGTAATAGTACTTAAAAGAAATCCTTTAGGAAGACATATTGGGGAATTTCCATGAGAACCACAAATATGATAAGGCTGCGTAGTGTTATCTTTACTTCTATTGTATTTTCCTGGAAGTTTTAGCCATTGAAATAAAAGAGGAAACAACAGTGGTGGTTGATTTTGTTTGTCAATTTGGCTAAGATACGGTGCCAAGATGTTTCAAACATCAGTTTAGCTGTTGCTGTCAAAATATTTTTTTTTTTTTTTTTTTTTTTTTTTTTTTTTTTTTTAAATTTTTTTTTTTTTTTATATAGGCATGTTTATTTATTTATCTGTTTGTTTGTTTGTTTTTGTTTATACATGCACTGGGTACAGTCAGAAGCGCGGGAGGGTGAGAGAATTCACCAGAGCCAGAGCGGGGAGCAGAGCAGGCAGAAGGACCGAAGTACACTGCTGAGGGGAGCAGCGGGCGGCAGGAGAGGTCTGCGCGCCATGCGGGACCCTCCTCCGGTGGCCGGGGAGCAGCCGGGGATCGAACCGGCGCCGCAGAGGCCGCGGGCAGGTTCGCAACCCAGCGCTCAACCGCTGCGCCACCGGGGAGGCCCTGTCAAAATATTTTTAAAGATGTGACTCACATTTCAATCAGTAGAGTTTGAGTAAATCAGATTGCCCCCCGCCTCCCCCACCCCCAATATAGATGGGCCTCATCCATTCATTCAGTGGAAGACCTTAAGAGAAAAAGACTGAGGACCTTGAGGGGGAAGGAATTCTACTTCCAGACTGCCTTTGAATAACATCCACTCCTCTTTAGATCTCCAGTTTGTTTACCAATAATGCAGATTTCAGATTTTCAAGTCCCATAATTGTGCCAGCCAATCCCTCCAAATCAATTTCATCTACATATAATATACACACATCCTATTGGTTTTGTTTCCCTAGAAAACCCTAACACAAAATAGCAACAACAGCTGGCACTTAATGGAGTCTTTTTATGCTGCAGATAATGTGTGAAGGGCTACATGTTTGTATTCACTCATTTAATACTAACAACTCTAAAAGGTAGTTTCTGAAGAAACTAAAATCAAACCAAAGGACTCTGAGGACTCACAGGAATGTTCTGGAATAATTAGAAGAACCAAATGCTCAATTTTTCCTGCCCTTTCACTTTTAGGCAAGTGATTGCAGCTGACTCTTTCTGGGTAAGACACCAATACGCTGAAAACATGCACAAATGGGGAAATGAGACCACTAGTATGGCTCAAGCTGAGGGGTTTGGACACAGGCTGGGAAGCAGCAGAGTTCAGGAGCCAATGTACAGGGATTTGGCTAGTACTTGACTTGTATTCTGATAATCCTCTGTTAGTCCCCTTGTAATTGCTACCATAACAAATTACCATGAACTCAGTGGCTTAAACAACACAGATTTATTATCTTATATTTCTAGAAGTCAGAAGTCCTCAAATCAAGGTGTCAGTTCTGGTTTTTCCCCCATCTTGAAAGGTGGCAGCATCTCACTTTCAAATCTTGTTCTTCTAGGCCTGCCTGCCTTGTCTGCGGCCTTCTCGCTCCCTTTTATAAGACTCTTGTGATTACTTTGGGGACAATGAGATAATCAATGGGTTACATCTTCTTTTTTTTCATGAAGGTAACATATTCACAAATTTCAGGGATTGGGATGTAGGCATCTTTGGGGGGTATTAGTCTCTGTCATGTATCCCTGGCATGGGTGAAAGACAACATCCTGTCCTTCCTATGGAGAGATGTGCATGCTAGTGGAACAAAGAGAAGTTGGCTTCTCAAGCTCATATTATGATCCTAAAAGATGTTGACCTTCAGTGTTTCTCGGTTCTCAGTTCTCTGTTGGGAAGCCAGTTAGTTGCACAACCTTGTTTTAGAAAAACTGTGTATCACAAAAGGGGAATTTCCTTGTAATGTACCTTTTAACCTTCCATATATACGTAAGGTAATAAGCTTTTATAAACTAGAAAGAATAACTATGTGTGGTGATGGATGCTAACTAATTGAGGAAATCATTTTGCAATATATACATATATCAATCATTACAGTGTACACCTAAAACCAATTTATAGGAAATTATACCTCAATTCACAAAGAAGAGGGTGAAATATGGGTACATATTTTTCTTATCTTGTTGTGGGGAAAGCCATTCCAAATACAGAAAGGACAAATTCATGACAAGCAAGATTAATAGTAAGGACTTATTTAAAAAATCAAAACATAGGACTTTCTAAAAATCAGAAACAGACTTCCAATTTCTCATTCCACATCTAAGGAAATTGGGAGTTGCTGCTCTGTCTGAGTAACAAATAAAAAGCTAATCAAACTAAATAAAAGTCATCAATTCTTCTTGGACCCCTATGAGAGGAGGACACAAGACAGACAGCTGCCCCCAAGATTATAGGGACAGTTGACTGCAGGGAGCTATGGGCACAATGATGAACAAGCAAAACCACATGGAACCAGAGCCAGGGCTAAGTATAAAAGGAATTCAAACAAAAGTAACTTGACAAATGAAAAATAAATAACTTATGCTGGAAAAAAAATTGATGAAACTTTTTGGGCATTTCCTTGATTGCTGGTGGAAATGTATGGCACAGCATTGCTGGGGTTCCATTTGGTAATGTATATGAGAAGCTTAAAAATTTTGCACATTCAGTAACCCACAAATTCTACCTAGAGGAATTTTTCAGAAGGAATTCAGGAGGACATGCAAAAGTTATGGCAAAGATTTCCACACAGAATATATATTCTATATTTATACATATATTAGTGTATATCTTTATTTTTTTAAAGATTATTTATGCATACAAGAACTGGGGTACAGGCCAGAGGTGCCGGGGGTGAGGGGATTCACCAGAGACAGAGTGGGAAGCAGAACAGGAAGATCCACTGAAATACACCGCTAAGGGGAGCAGCAGGCAAGTCAGGAGAAATATGCTGTGCCATGTGGGTCACCTTCCTGCCCGGGGATCGAACATGTGCTACAGTGGCTGCACATAGCTTCATAGTGCTGCATCTTAACCCCTTGAGCCACCAGGGAGGTCCTACCTCTGATTTTTTTGAAAATTGACAACTGAGTGAGGTGTATGGATGGCTAGAACCCTGAAATCTTTTTGAAATGCAGAAACTCTGCCTTATCCCACTACTATGTCAGAATCTGAATTTTATCAAGATACTTAGGGGATTGATAGATATATTAAGATCTGGGAAGCACTATTCTAGGAAATTTTGAACTGATTGTTTCATTATTGCATTGGGTTGTCTAATTACTATCCAGATGTAACATGTGACTTTAAGTCCCGAGACGTTAATAGGATTTCAAAAATATCTCTGGCATTGAAATAACTTCCACACATTTGTGGTAGTATGGATGTGATTCAGAAATACCTGGTTGAGATCTGCCTTTCGATTCGCCCCTGTCCTAGCCTTGCTGCTGGATGGTTTGCCCTCTGATTCAGCAGCTGTTCCAAGTACCCACTGCCCTCTTCATTCATCTTGCATTAACTACCATTTGCTCATCCTGCATTAACTGCCTAATTCAGCTTTTGCTTGCCTGCTCCCTCCTGCTCATTGCATACTTCTGTTTCAAATAGTAAAATATCTTCACTCTGAACTCGCCAAACCAGAGATTTTAAAATGCTTATTGATCATAATTGGGGTCACGTAGACAACAGTAGCTTTCATCAAGATTCATTTATTTCTATCACTGAACTTTTACAAGGTATATATTAATAGGACAATCCATGACCTTCAAGGCCTCTTAATAAAATGACAGGGAATGCAGGGGTTGGGAAGCATCATCTAGGCACCAACATGCAGCGAGCTGATGGGATGTGTGCCTTTGAGATCACACAACAATGAGGCTACAGTGGTGGCTGGGGAGAGTCAGGAAGGATTTGGGGAGGAGGTGACCTTCTTCTATACTAGGAAAGTCACTCCCATAGCAGCTACAACCCTAGGCTGTGTATATATATCACCTTTTAAATTGTCATCTTCCCTGGTAGTTGATTATGATTTAATGATGGCACATAAAGTGGGTTCTTCAGCCCTATTTGTTAGATGGAGGGATAAGATCTGAATCTTAAAGGGAGACTAGGACTTAACCATGAGGACATGTGCTCTATGGTGCAGAGGAAGTAGAAGATGAGAAATAGTGCCAGATAATGTTCTTTAACCAGACTGACATCCCTTCCCCAAACTGTGTAACAGTGCATCAGGGAGACATTTCCAATTTGAAAAGAGATGTTTGCAGATCTGTCATAGTTTGGGATGATAGAGAATCAAACCTTCAGGCCAAGTAGTCATGACAGATTGAAAGTTAAAACACTGGCCACAGGCACAGTCCAGAATATGGCTTCCTCTTTCAGAGAAAGGACTGTGATGGTGCTGGAGCCTGGGATCCCTCGCCAGTCTTTATTTATGACTATCCCCTTCAAAGCAGATTGCAGACATGCTCCGAATGAGCAAGCAGCGTGGCTTAGAGGCTGGGTACCTAGAGTTTTCAAAAAAGGAAGCAGAGCTGGAGGGCTGCCAAGACAGGAAGCTGTCTGTCTGCAGCACGACCAGGAAAAGGAAAAGCGAGGCTTCTGTCTCCAGTGCCTCCTCACCAATTTCTCCATATCCTTTGGCATTTGAACAGGCTGCTGTTGCTTTGGGGGAGAGTGACGTAAACAGTGACATTTGTATTAATGTCTTCCTGATGAATGCCTTCTGTTTACAAAACCGTAACATCCAGGTGGATTTGCTCCAGAAAATATGAAGTGTCTGTGTGTCAAGGGGTGCTGTGTGTGTTCTAGGCTGCTGGAAAGGAGCTCATCATGTGGCTGTTGGTATTATCACCCATGTGGCCTATGGAAGGCTGGGGCACTGGGCAGGTTAGACTGAATCATC